TAATAAGAACGGTATGACAGCAGAAAATACTTTAAGATAGATTTTAGTATGATGTGAAATAAGTTTTTAAAGTTAACCTTTCTTTTCTAATTTTATACGACTCTGAAATTTGGTTTTCATTTTCAAAAGTATGGCTAGTAAACGTTAATTTGACTAAGTCAATATTTGTAACCGTTAGAAATATCATCCTCCCAACATATGCCACTTATCGTTTAATTGCCTACAATTGTAAGCTAATAAGCCTTATATTTTTTTGCCAAGTAATTGCACCCTGCCGAGCTCAACGTTGGCAGATGTGTCATGACCTCGGGAACTGTCATTATTCCACTATCCAGAGAGCTAATGCACTGACATAACCAACCATCCATCTATCTATCGACCCATCGCTCCAACCACTCGTTCAGACATCCATCCATCCACGCCATCCATCTCTTGTTGGCTCTAAATACAATCAAATGACAGACAAAAGACATCGGGAGAATGCAGTTCGAGCATTACGTATACGCCACGTGGGCCTCCTGACACACTGACTGACTGTTTGTCTGCCTTTGCACTTTAGTTTTTTACAATTCAGCCCTTTTTTTTCAGTCCTAAGCCTCAGGCATTTAATTGAACAAGTGAGCACTTTATTAAAATGTCACTCAACTGTGTTTAGTACGATATATGTAGTGCAAAAAGTAAAGGTGAGATGAGGCAGCAATTGTTGGCGATGGTGCCAAAGGACGAATGCGGGAATGGCCGACGACGTGGTCTGTGCAAATTTCATTACAGCGGTGTCAGCTATTTTGACAGTCCGTTTCACCTGCATTTAGCACAGTCCTGGCAAAAAAAGTGTTGCAGAACAAGCTCTTGTTAAATATTTCGACACTGGGTTACTCTAAGCTACAATACAGATATAATATAAATTGTTTAGCTCACCTTTTCAAACAGCAATTAAAAGTATTTATACACATATACAACTTTGGTTGCTAGTAACTAACCACTAACGTAAAATCTGCAACACAAAAGTATTCAACAATAACCTTACAAATATTTTCTTTGAAGTGTTTTCTATACTTCTCAACTTTGTCAAGTGAATCATACTTCTAGACTCCCAAGCCAGGCTCTGAAAAGTTAAGACTTTTCTTTTATAAAGTCCTAAACATACTTCCACACAATTTAAAAACAATTTTTTTGCTACAGTGACGAATCAATGAATTTAATTAATAACTTTATCATTTTTGTAGGTAAATATTTACTAAAAAAATTCACCAACTATATTGTATGGGTTGGATTACTATAAAAATAGTTATTTAACTGCAATCCATTGGTTGGGTCCATTCTACCCTTTTTTTTAGTTACACAACTATTTTTTATAGTACCCTTTACGATTAAATATTACGTAAGAGTATCCACTGGGTGGAGAGCGTTTTAATATTATTTTTGTAAATTTTTACCGATCGATGTTGTTGTGTGTATCTTATTAGATTTTGCATATATCCGGGATAAAAATGTAACAATTACTTAGGTGTAGTACAAAAAAGGATTTATTTTATATGAGCCTCGTTAGAAATAATATACCCACCAAGCTCACCTATTACCACGTATAAAAAGCAACATAAACAGCAACAATAACTGGAACGGGAGCAGTTGCAGTCACGGATGCCGCAGTCGACTGCATTTAGCGTATGCATATTTAATATTTCCCATGCAAGTTGCAAGTTGCAAGCGAAACGAAACGAAACAACAGCCAAAACTCCAGAAACTCTCCAGCCAAAGCCAAGGAACAGCAGCTGAAAAAAGGGTTCCGAACTGGAGTTGCACAAAAAAAGGGAACACAACTCATACTCGTATATCATTTGACCCTGCTGTAGAAGTTGCCCCCATATCCTTTCACCCCTTTTTCCCGCTAACAAGAGGCAAACAACAGGAAAACCAAAAGAGTGAAAGAGTGAAAAAAGTTTTGAAATGAAAAAGCAGTCAGCATATGAAATGAGTTTATTACTCAAAATGTTCCACTCTGCGTGTGTGTGTGTGTGTGTGTTGTGCGGCACGCTTTAAGTGGCATGCACCATGTGAGGGGCGGAGGGGGCGTGGCAGTAAACAGGAAGGCCCTGACGTCCCCCTGACGAAGCCACCGTGAGCTGCAGGCAAAATAGTTAGCTAGATTTATTTATAAATAATTTGCAAGCATAAATCGCAGCGCAGCTTAATCAAATTTGCGGCAGACAGTGAGTGGCGAAGGTATGTGGCCAGAGCATTAAATCTTTGCAATTCAGTGGGGTTACACCTTTTTTGTTAGTTTGCCTTGATTAGGGCTAATTATTATTATAGCGCAAATATTGTTGTGTAACTTTTTTTCACTTTGTCTTAGATGAAAGTTATTTTAAATTTTTTCTTCCATTTTTATTTTACCACTTGCATTTTGCACGCACTGTGAGCATTTTCCCTTGATGTTTATAATATTTGCGAATATAGGGAAAGCACTTTCAGCACCAGCACAATCATCTGCATTTGGCTGTTACGAAGGGAAAATGCCCCAAAAATGCCAAACTGCGTTAATTGAGCGCGACATTTGCTGAAACAACAACACATTATTATAATGCAAGGAAGCAGCGGCACTAGCGGATATGCTGGCAGCGGATATAGCGCAACGGAAATTGGCTTACAGATGCCGGGCCATAGATATATATCTATTTAGCCTCGCCTTCCGTTCGACCAAATTGCAGATTGAAGATGCAAATTCCGACGTGCAATGCATATGTCCACCCTAAATGCATTTGTGTGTCTTTCTGTCAGAGTGTGAGTGTGCCTCTGAGTACCTCAAATTGCTTTCAGTGTGCCGAAGTATGCCGTCCTCAAGAAGATGTGACTGCTGTCAGAGGGTGGTTTGAAAAGTTGCACTCTCAGTATAAGCAACTTTAATGAAAGCAAAAAATATTTAATTTAGATAAAATATAATTATTTCTTTAGTATTGGTAATTATTTTTGATCGTTACGCTTTTTTTTTGAATTCATTAATATACTTACATTTTTTGAAGAATTATATGTATAACTGTGATTATTACTTATTTCTTCTCTCTGCTTTTAACGAAAAGTAAAGGGGCTTGATTTGAATTTTAAAAATAAATCTTAAAACTAAGAACAACATTTAATAGTGGTCAATTTATTTGCTTCCTTTGTTTGTTAATTAAATTTTTATTTAGTTGAAGTGTTTATCGAAGTTTTCACGCAACCGTCTTGCTCTACAACCATTTGACTAAGCGCATTAGCTTTAGTTTTTAACATTTTTTCCTCAACTTCCACTTGGCCAGCGAGGTTAAAGTCGGTTTTACCAGGGGGGTAAAGTAGAAATGGGGGGCGGGAATTGGCAGAAGGTCGCTTCTCTGCATTAGCCGGTCTGCAAGCGGCTCAAGTGCAAAATCGAATTTAGCTAACGGAATTTGGTCTTGCTTGCCAAGAATCCCACACCTTCTTTTTTAACTATACCTCCTTACCTGTGCCGGTGCCTTTAACTCTTTAGCCCACACGTTTTCGCTCTGAAAAAATCCTACTTTTCTAACCACTTTTAACAGCAGCCGACGATGGCGATAAGCGCTTGGAACATGCGTGCTAAAAACACACATAAGGACACCCTTAAAAATCAATGCACAGTGAAAAAATATTAAATATATATAAAAATATATTAAATAAAGAGGAATATAAGTATTATATTCTTTTATTTGAAAACAATTTTGTTCAAATTAAAAAAAAAAATTTTAAATGTAGGATTAGCTTTTCATCATCTTATACCATGATCTCTTTTTTTCAGTGGCAACATGCACCTGTGTTCCATCTAATGTTGGTCGCAAAAACAAAAAAAAAGCACTGGGGTAAAGGGAGATGGTGCGTCATGGGCAAGGGCTGCTTAGTTCGGGGTCAAAGGGTGCTGCAAATTCAGCTGGAGCAGCAGCATCAGCACCTTTGCCATTAACCCAACTCGGTTCGTTTTGGTTCGGTTTTTGCTGGCTGCCTGTGCTACCGGTGCTTCCCCTTTTTTGCTATTAGTTTTCGCCACATGTTTGTGTGCTCCGCCACCCATCGAAAAGTCCCCCACTCGACAACCTTGCCTCGAACATACCTGTGCTCACCTGGTCGTTTTTTGTTTTTAAGTGCAACATGAAATGTGCATACCAAGGAGCAGGCCAAACCAGACACGGACATGAGCCTGGACAGACTCTGGGAATCCCCCTTTTCCCCCACATAAGCCCTTTCAACCTCATCTGCATTTTGCTTGGCTCATCCCCATCCCCAGGAGCTGCCTCCAATTCACCACTGACTAATACACTCCCAGTGGTTGCACCCGTAGATATAGATATGCATACGCCAGTGTGTCGACTATGTAGCCAATGTTCTCGTAGTCTTGTTCTGGGGCCTGGGAACCAAGATATATGGCAGCTGCCAAAAGATGCAGAACATGACTTTTCTATACATACGTATTAAACAGTGCCTACGCAAAGTTGGAAGTCAGTAGTTAAGAATTTTGTTGGTTAAACAATATAAATACTTCAGCTTAATTCAAAAGCCTCATTGAAATAAAAACTTGTTAAAAATAATTTATATATTTTAAAACAAAAAAATAATGATACAAAAATAGTTTTTTAGAAACATGTAAGTATGATCCCATAGCTTTTAAAATATATTTTTTTAAATCTAAAATTCCAAGCAAGAGTTCTTCTTAGTAGAACTTTTAGTATGTCAGTTTTAACATGTCCCCCATGTGTGGTTTTTGGTTTTAACTATAAGGAAAAGACGGGGAGGTAAGAAAGATCCTGTAAACGTGTCTCTGACAGCTACTGGAAGTGAACTTCTCTGAAAGTTAAAACCGCTGGCAGCTTGAAAATACATTTTGTCAGGCGTAAATACATATGATTATGAATAAACCAGTTAAGATTGGAAATAAAATAGGTTTCTTATATTTATATTAAGAATTATTGAAATGGTTGTTTTTACCTAAAAATTGACTTCTAAAAACATTCCTCATCGATATTGTTATCTTTGTGTTTTGCTAATCTTACGACTGCTTAGCCTTAGGGAGCCGGAAGCAAAGCTCAGTTTCTTCCTGAGCGCCAGAGTCAAACGGTCGATATGGGTGTCCACCTCTAAGATCCTCCTTTCCAGACGTTTGTGTTCTATACGGAGCTTTCTGACCACCACTCGCTTGGCTTCCAGGTGCTCCACGGTTGCATCGTAGTCCCGCAACAAATCCGGATATTGCATCAGACATCCGTTTTTTCTAAGCTTTGAAGCCTGCTTCTTGAGCTGCTCGTGCTGCACCATTCCCTTGTGGAGGCGGTCCCGGAGGTCCTTCTTCAGCTTCTCCTGCACTTTAAGCTTGGCCTTCATTTTTCGCAACTGCCCCTCGTTTATTTTCTTTTTATTCATTAAATGGGCCATTGCATGGATTGCGTGAACTTTGCGCTCGCGTAACTGATACAGCTCCAGCTCCCTCTCTTTGGGGGTAAGAAAATATCAAAGATCAATATAAATTATTGGTTCATAAAAAAAGGTTTATTAAAAAGGATTTGCAAGAACTAAAAATAGATTTACAAGTATTAAAAAAAAGTATACTACAAATAAACTTAAATTGTTAAATTTTTTAAAAGATTCTATGAAATATTTTATCATTGGCAAAATAAATTAATACCCATTGATAATTTTAAAATTAAAATACAGTTTTAACCTTAAATTGAAATGGAAAACATTTTTCAAAAAAAAAAACTATACGTATTCAATGAATTACCTTTAAGTTTTTGTTCCAGCACGTTATTGCTGCTCTGATCGGAAATATATTCAAGAACGTGCATGCCATTACCAAGATTTTCCAGTTTTTCAGATTTCTAAAATTAGTAATCGGAGTAAATTATTATAATTAATCAAGGTATATATAATATTCTATCTACTCACATTTTTTAAGTCCTGCAATCGCTGCTGGATGAAGATCAATTCCTCTCGCATTTGGGACATTTCGTCGCGAACCACGTTCATTTCTCGGAAGAGATTATCAATAACTTCCTTAATGTGATCGTGGCCTTCTTTGCAAAGAGTTGCCCTGACTTTCGATTCGAATTGGGTGGTTTGCTCGGAAATCAGGTTGCGGGCTCCTTCCAACTCCGAGGTTAAGTCCTGAAATTGCTTTTGACATAACTGCTCAGTCTTCTGCATTTGCTCCAATCGATTGTCCAGTTCCACCAGAGCAGACATCAGACGTTCGCGATTGATCGTATCTATTTGCTTGGGCTCGATGACGAACGAAAACTCCTTACGCCTTACATAATAATCCGTTGTAACCTTTTCCAGAACCCTATTTCTTTGCAATTCGGATTGATAGTCATTGGCCAAACCACGCAGTTCCTTCAGCAATTTTTCCTTGTCCAGCAGTCGCCCCAGTCGAACTGAAGTTATTTCTGCATGCCGCACTGTTTGGTTTATTAATCCAATGAGAAATATTTCGACAATCTCTCTGTTGACCGAAATGACATGTTCCCCACTTGACGATGATGAATCATTGAAGACCGTAAGTCTGGGACGGATGCTCAACAAAAAATCACTTATGTCTTCTTCCGGTGGCTTTTCCGGCACTATTTCGCATTCGACTTCCGCATCGGTACCGGTCGAATCTTCGAGACTGATACCAGAACTGCTTTGTTTTACTTCCAGATTTTCGGTGAACTCATTTTCCACTTGAAGATCCTCTGCGCTGACCGACTTACTTGATCTATAGGATCCTTCGTCCACGGTTGGCACAAACTTTCCATCCACATTGGGTATTTGTATGACCTCAACACTATCACTAGGCGACAGAGCGGTTATATCTGGTAGGCGACCAAATATTTTAAGAAAATTAAGTCTCTCAGCTGGTTTATCATCCTCCTATTCTTGAATCCCATTTTCAAGTTCAGTAGTAGACTCTGTTTCGGTCTCAGAAATTGATAGAAGACTAGTAAGTGCTTTCATTGAATCCCATTCCGGCATTGTATTTAATTCTATCGAATCTGAATCTGACGATTCGGCGATTTCCACCTGTACTTTATCCATAACTGGGTTCTCTGCCTGCACTTCATCGGCTTTCTTTGGGCTCTCAGTTTTTAAAAGATGTACCCTATGGGGACCCCAAAAACCCGTCGTAATTATTGAAGACTTACTTTTGATAGTACTCCGTTTGCGCGTAGAGAATCTAGATATAATGGATACGTCCGATGTAAAAGTTTTCAAACTCTCACGATCCGCTGGAGAATCGGGAAGGAAACTCCTAGAGGATCGATCACGGAAATTGAATCTCTGACTCGATCTCCGTGACCCATCCTTAGAACTTTCCCTTGATTTCTCAGCCTTAACAATTGCCTTCGAAATAGCTGGCGATTCTACCTTTTTCTGGGGACTCTTTGCCCTCTTAAGGGGTTTTTTCTTATCAGGAGTGCCTGGGGTCCTTGAATTCTTAACAACCTTAGCTGTTTTTTTTTTGAGCAACTGTTTGGTGATTGTCTTCGGTACTAACGAGGTGCCATCAGTCCTTTTATTTAATAAAGTTTCGTTGGAAATCCCGACAGTCGAACCTATCCTGGATTTTGAGCCGGAATCTAAGGACTGTCCTCCACTAGGGGTTAACTGCGAGTATGAGGTTTTCTGAAGTATACTCATGTTGGTTTTAACCAAAGAAAAGCAACAACAACTCAAGAAAAACAAGAAACGACTACAAAATAAATGACTGGGGAAAAAAACTTAAAAGCAACGAAAATAAGTTTGATGTTTAAACAAAAGCAAGCTAAAATGAAATCATTTTTGTGAAATAACTTTTTTTTTAATATAATAGTTTCCTAACTAACACTTTATTGAATCAGAATGTTCTAACTAATTGGTTTTAATTGTTTAGGAAACTAAGTCCACTGTTTAGAATTTAATTTAGGATAACTTTTCCTTCAAGCCCAGATAATACTCATGCTCTTAAGCTTTACCATTTTTTGCCAGTTAAAAACTCTACTTTTAACTTCTTTTTTTAACCTCAACACCATCCGTAGACAGTATGCCAAAAACCACCTTGCGGCCCTGAACACTTACCTGCTGAAAAAAGATGGGTGGAAAAAGAAAGGTTCAGATTCGAGAGGTACTCCTCTTTCGGCTGACTATCCCGATACTCGTTTTCACCCCCGAGGAAGCTGCCTGTTGTTGGTTAATATCATCACTCATGTATGCCGCATACTAAAGAGAATTTATCATGTCTGTTGCCGCTGCTGCTGCTGCTGCTGTTGATGCAGCCATAAAAAATAGTAGAAACTGGGTGGGTGGGAGTCGAAAGTACAGGGCGTCCTGCCTGAAGGACCCGCGGGGATCGAGGATTCGGGGCTTTTGGGCTTTCGTCTGCATTGCTTAGCCCCGAACCGTGGCGCCTGCCATTGTCGCTCAAGTGTTTCGGCAAACTGGCTTGTGGTGGCGAAAGTAAGACGGCTAGAAGTTGCATGTCTCTATAGCGGAAGGGGTAGCAAGTTGTCGTCGGATCTTGACAGACTGACGTAATTGAGCGGGGCGTATAGAGGGATTATATTGACAATCGTGTTTAATAGGATAGATTGTGGGATTTTGGCCCAAGTTTATATATACAGATAAATACATTTAAATAGGCTTTAGCCTAAGAAAAAGTAAATTAGAAGAACTAATCAGTTCAGGCTTACATATTTTTAATAAACGTTTATTGGAACAAAGTAAAAGAGTATCCTACTAATTATCAAAAATGTCTTATCAATGTAATAAATACCTACAAAAAGAGAAGCTGAAATAGTCTATCTATAATTTGTACTCCTTGAGAAATTAATATTCAAAGTAATTCTTCTATTTTTTTAAGGGGTACCTCAGCAGCGACACCTGTTTTTTAAACACCTTGGTTTAGTTTGATGCTGCTGCCACGGCTGCTGAATATTCGCAAATTCGTTTACGTTTACCTAGCCACCTTCCACTTTTTCCTTTCCCCGGGCGACCGCCATCAGCTAAGTAGATTTGGGCTACCTGCATGCAGCAATGCTGCAGCTGCAGCATTTGAGTGGGTATACTTTATACACTTTTTTGTGCGGGGGTGCGGGGTAAATGGGTTTAGATGCCCTCGCTTTTCTCTTTCCCAGGGATTTCTGGCAAATTGCCTAAAACTTTCTATATATTTGATGTAATGAATTCCAGCGAGAAGGAGAGGCAAACTAGCTTTGAGATTGGCACAGAGCGAATGGGCAAAAAAAAAAAAACGACTAGCAAAAAGGGAAATGTTTACGCTGCCGGGCTGCATAGTCAAATAAAAAACATCAGCGACCAAAGCGGAGTGGAGCATACATTGCGTATGCGTAATGTGTAACAGATACTTCACATACGCCACGTTGGCTGGGCGGTGTTTGGTGAGTGTGTGCTTGTGGGTGTGTGTTGGTGTGTGCGAGTTCCGTTTCCGCAATTAAAATGTTGATTACATGAAGTACGACTGCCGCTTGTTTGTTTCCCTTGAGCCACGCCCCCGTTTTGGCCATCCGATGCTGTGGGCGCCACAAAGGAAAGCGGAAATTATGTGTAGATGCGGGCGTTGGCGCTTAGCTGTGCTTTTCATTCGGCATTAACAACAGTGGCAGAATGGCAGCGGTGAGGCCAACAACAATGAGTAGAACCCATAAATTGCAAACATTTTGTTGGGTTGCGATAAGCAATCCGTTAAGGGGGTGCGGCGAGTTTAATGACCAACCTAGATTATTAAAGTCCCGACAAGCGATAAACAATAAAGTAACCAATCCTAAGGATCAAGCAAAACATTTCTAAGAACACACACAATATGCTCTTTGATTAATGAGATATTTTTTTAAGATATTATAGGAAAAATGTTAATTATTCGCAATTATTTTTAGCTGCTTTGTTGGTAATTCTCAGACTTATGTTCAGAAAAATGCAAATAAACCCCATCTATTGCTTTTTAATAATTTCAAAATAAAGGGCAACACAGAGGCAACAGCAACGATAATAGACAGCTGGTTGAAAAACACACCTTACAGCGTAATTAAATCAATCATACGACCTGTTGGTAAAGCGGCCAAGACAGGAGCAGAAGCAAAAGGAGCAGCCAAAAAAAGCGAGTGGCAAGGGGGTGGCAACAGGCGTGACGAAGGCAACGCCCCCCAAATACACCTGGAGAAATTCACGATTCCCCCCACCCCCATTCGCCCCTACGCCCCTGCCCACGAACACCTTGCTTAGCATAAATGAATATTTATAATTCAAACGCCTTTTGCCCATACTTTTTCCTTCAGTATGCAAAATAGCGGCGGCGACTGAAGATCCGCAAAGTGCTTTTTTCTTTTCCATTTTTTTTCCTTTTTTTTCGAAAGAAGAAAGAGACAGCTGAGTGTGAGAGGGAGGAAGTAGAATAATTTTTTATGAATATTTATTTGTTTTTACGAAATCGAAGTTATGCATTTGCTGCTCTCCCTTTTCTTGCTGGAAATAATGCTCTGGTAGACACGACCCCGCGCCCTCGAAGAGTCGTCAAAGTTTTTACTTCTTCAACTGCTGAAAGGTGCGTAAGACAATTTAATTTATTTGATGCATTAAAGCAGAAATATTAACGCTATAAATCAATGAGTACAAAAGTTTTCCATCTTTTTTCCCTTGTTTAAGTGTATTTCGTATTAATTTATGTGTGTGCCCTTAACCCTACCCCATTCCCATATCCGCTCCCTTTGGGCCAGACCAAAAAAATATTCTTTTGCGCGTATTTTTTATGACAGCTGCGGGTAAAGTTATGGCAGTGAAAGTTGGCTTTCGACTGGGGACAAGGAGAAAGGGCAAGGGAGGCCTTATTGGGCGGTCATCAATATGGATAAAAATAATAACCCAGATTATATTCCAAATGAAGAAAATATAAAATAACTAATATATTTATTTTATTGGCATTATAACATCCTTATAAAACAAGCTAACTCTTTATAAAAAAAATGTATAATTACAATTTTGTAATGTAATTTGTATACTGATACTGTGCACAGCAAAATCTAGCAACATAAAGTAATAGTAAAGTTACCAGTTGATTTATTATTAAAAGAGCTTTACAAAATCAGTAGGTTTTGTAAATGTCTATATTTCTGTAAGTGCTTAAATAGCTTCAGCCACAAATGTTTCTGGTTGGAAACGGAATCTCCTACAGGGCTACCTAAGCCAAACTGAACCATTAGCTAAGCACACAGAGAGGAGAGTTCTATCCTCTTTCTGGGCCCTTTAACCCTCTCATAGCTCAGGCCCCATTTGAGAACCACATAAGCTTAAAAATTTCAAGTGCTGCACCGATTTCAAGCCAGCAGAGGAATGAAATGCCACTGACCCAGAGAGAATTTTTAAATAGAAAAGGAGGAAGGAGCACGAAGAGAATGCACAAAGAAAAATTTGCATATAAAGTGGCAAAACAGTTGTATTAAATAATATTAATAGTTTAATGTCTGTGGTTTACTGATTCGTATATAATTTCTACATTTACTAAGTTAATCGAAGTAATTCCTTGGTTCATTCTAGTAAGGCTTAATAGTTTTAATTTATTTAATTTTAGCACACTTTATTTAACCTATTATATATATATATTTACATTTTTTATTAAAATATATAAGTATTGGGTTATTTTAATTAATTTTTAATTCTTTATTATTTTTCGCACCCTTATATCTGGTCAGCATTTCCAATTGGGATGGCACAAAAGCAGAAAACTAAGTTATTCCTGAAAAACGCAACGTTGAACCTTGAAAAGGTCTGCAGCTTTGTTTGTTTTAATCCACTTTTAAATTTGCAATGCAAAACGCAACTTTAACTCGATTAATGCGCACAAAGTGCAATCATTTGCATTATTTTTCATTTTCAATTTGAATTTCATTTTTGCTCATTGTCATTGCCGTTGGGCAAACAAAAGTCGCTTATTTAACCCAATCCCTCCATTCAGTTGTGTGCATCGCATAGATAAAGTCATATATCAGGGATAATTTTAAAAACCCTTTCTTCCCCCCTTTCCTCATTCGTTCTGACGTCATCAATTGGAGTTTGGCTTTCTGGTCTGTTGGTTCATTAAATATTGTGATAATTTTTCATATTTATTTTTAAGTGGTTTACAGTGACAGTTAAATTTACATTTTATTTCATTAAGCAAAGCGCCATTTATATTTGATTTTCACGTCCACACTCATTTGTGCTTATATTTTCGTATTTATTTATTTGCATATACTTAAAATTCCGTCCTTCGTTTAATGGCGTTTAATTGAGCACCGGATTATAACGTGCCAAGTTATTTAATGTTCGCTAGCCTTGAATCATTTTTTGGTCAAGAGTGCGTATAAGTAATTGGGCAGGCTTAAAAAGATTAACTAATTACACGTTAGTTATATAATCTTTTGTCCTGACTATTGTGGTTTTTTATTAATTTCTGACTATTTTATTTCAGAACAAAAACAATTACATATTTGATTTATTTAATGAAGAACCCTCATTTTAAAAAATAGATGTAATTTACTATCGAGAATTCTTTTTAAAATAAATATTACCGGGTATATTTTGAATTTTTCTATGCAATAAAAGTACAAGCACACAGCGCGCCAAACTATATTTTTGTATGCTACAGAAAATCCCATTATTTTCCAATGCAAAATTTTTAAGGCTTGCAAAGAGCTGTTAATAACCAACTGATGTTAACTAGCCCATTTACAGTGT